CTCTGATTGGGGAGTTAGTTTTTCGCGGCTGGGCCATGCCGCGCAGCGTCGGGAGGTTCCAGATGGATTTTCACACCGGAACCGTTCCAGGGTGAAAATCCATCTGGAACCCCCTCCCGACGCAAAACGGCTCTGTCGGGGGATGGGGGGGGTGTACCCGAGCTCCCAAAATGGCAATTTTCCAAATGAAATCTCTGATTGGGGAGCTCGTTTTTCGCGGCTGGGCCCTGCCGCGCAGCGTCGAGAGGTTCCAGATGGATTTTCACCCCGGAACCGTTCCAGGGTGAAAATCCATCTGGAACCCCCCCCGACGCAAAACGGCTCTGTCGGGGATGGGGGGGGGTGCCCGAGCTCCCAAAATGGCAATTTTCCACATGAGATCTCTTCTTGGGGAGCTCGTTTTTCGCGGCTGGGCCATGCCGCGCAGCGTCGAGAGGTCCCAGATGGATTTTCACTCCGGAACCGTTCCAGGGTGAAAATCCATCTGGAACCCCCCCCGACGCAAAACGGCTCTGTCGAGGATGGGGGGGGGTGCACCCGAGCTCCCAAAATGGCAATTTTCCACATTGAAATCTCTTCTTGGGGAGCTCGTTTTTCGCGGCTGGGCCCTGCCGCGCAGCGTCGAGAGGTTCCAAATAGATTTTCACCCCGGAACCGTTCCAGGGTGAAAATCCATCTGGAACCCTCTCCCGACGCAAAACGGCTCTGTCGGGGATGGGGGTACCCGAGCTCCCAAAATGGCAATTTTCCACATGAAATCTCTTATTGGGGAGCTCGTTTTTCGCGGCTGGGCCCTGCCGCGCAGCGTCGAGAGGTCCCAGATGGATTTTCACCCCGGAATCGTTCCAGGGTGAAAATCCATCTGGAACCCTCTCACGACGCAAAACGGCTCTGTCGGGGATGGGCGGAGGTGTGCCCGAGCTCCCAAAATGGCAATTTTCCACCTGAAATCTCTTATTGGGGACCTCGTTTTTCGTGGCTGGGCCCTGCCGCGCATCGTCAGGAGGGAGGTTCCAGATGGATTTTCACCCCGGAACCGTTCCAGGGTGAAAATCCATCTGGAACCCCCTCCCGACGCAAAACGGCTCTGTCGGGGATGAGGGGGGGGGGGGGGGTGCCCGAGCTCCCAAAATGGTAATTTTCCAAATGAAATCTCTTATTGGAGAGCTTGTTTTTCGCGGCTGGGCCCTCCCGCGCAGCGTCAGGAGGTCCCAGATGGATTTTCACCCCGGAACCGTTCCAGGGTGAAATCCATCTGGAACCCTCTCCCGACGCAAAACGGCTTTGTCGGGGACGGGGGGGGTATGCCCGAGCTCCCAAAATTTCCATTTTACAAATGAAATCTCTTATTGGAGAGCTTGTTTTTCGCGGCTGGGCTCTGCCGCGCAGCGTCAGGAGGTCCCACATGGATTTTCACCCCGGAACCGTTCCAGGGTGAAAATCCATCTGGAACCCCCTCCCGACGCAAAACGGCTCTGTCGGGGATGGAGGGGGTGTACCCGAGCTCCCAAAATAGCCATTTTCCAAATGAAATATTTGATTTGAGAACTTGTTTTTCGCGGCTGGGCGTTCCCGCGCAGCGTCGGGAGTCCCAGATGGATTTTCACCCCGGAACCGTTCCAAGGTGAATCAATCTGGAACCCTCTCCCGGCGCAAAACGGCTCTCTTGGTGGCTTCCGTGAGGAGCCCAATCAGGGCTTCTGCAAGGAGGCCAGTGAGGGCTTCTGCAAGGAGCCCAGTGAGGGCTTCTGTAAGGAGCCCAGTGAGGAGCCCAGCGAAGGCTTTCGTAAGGAGCCCAGTGGGGGCTTCTG